ACCCGCACTATCAGAACCCCCAATAGTGCGGGTATGCGCACTATTTAGGCGCTTATTTATATAGTGCGGGTGCCCGCTATAGTGCGGGTAGAATCGCCTGGCACATACCCGCACTATAGAGGGACCTCGACTGTAGTTGCGAACGGAGACGAGGGAGAATTTCGCAGGGACACTCGAACAACATTTGGCTGTGGTTGAAGAACCCTATGAACATCCTCTTAAACACGACCATCTGCCGGAGTGGTCTATCGGGTGGCGTTCAGGTCGTCATGTATTCGTACTCGTGGGTTCGAATCCCACGGTGGTCAAAGTATCTTTTTTTCCCCTCCTTTTTCACATATTTTTCCCATCTTGACCTGTTCGAACGAGACATCCAGTAGGTTACCATGCCCTTCAAGATGTCTCCGAAACGTCTTCAATGGTTCAAAACCGTGCTTTCTTTGCAGAAAGACGGCGTGTTCGTTGAGCAGAAAATGACAAAAAAATTCAAAATTCGATATCGGAAAACCACAGGCCGGGGGCGCCTGAGCGCATCTGCGACGCGTTTCCTGCGCAGTAGCTGGTGGTGTTGGTCGCGTCCTTCCGTTTTACCTTACCGTCCGTTTTCATGCGCGTCGGGGTGTGCCCTACTTCCTAGACTGGAACTCGTGGCTGTTGTCCTTGTCAGGAAATGTTAGGACACCGTCAGGAAATGTTAGGAAGCCGGCAGGAAGTGTTCGGACACCGTCAGGAAATGTTTGGACACCGCCAGGAAATGTCAGGAAAAGTTAAACAACCAAGAGCTTCCCGCCGATTTTGATTAACCACCCGTCCGCATCTCTGTAGGTGTGTACGCCACACTCGCGCGCCTCTAACTACGAAGCTTTTTTTTTCTTTTTTTCTCAGAACCCCCTTCTCGTGCACACTCTAGCCATCGTTGTTTGTGCAAGCCCGTTCTTCGGGACAAAATGTCGTCGTCGTCATATCCCCCACAGTATTGTTTTTTGTTATCTTGACCCATCTTTCGACGTGAGGAATACCGCCATGTGCCTTCAACACCGTGTTCGACATTCCGAGCGGTTCTGCTCCGTCACAAAGGGAACGCCTGCGCATGTTGAGTTCTACGAGTGTGGGTCCGTTGCCATTGCCCTAAATGAAACAAACACACCTGCACTTTGAATCTATTGAGTTCCCGCAGTTTGAATCTAGCCAGTACCATACCTCTCCGGTGCTGACGTGGACCAACTATCGCCTCCTCCCTTGATATGCACCCTCACACTTATATTCGAAACAAGTGCATACCTCCCTGATGCGCGGGTGGATCGATTTGCCGACGCCCTTAACACGCACTCCCACGCATGAATAAATGATAGCAAAGTACTCCAGAATGGTGTCTCTCTGGTGTTTGGATCGACTATTGCCGCTGCCCTTAACACGCACTACTCCCACGCATTAATCTAAACTATCGAATAATCACGTCTCTCTGTTGTGCAGGTGGCCCTTTTCACCACCGAGTACATCCTGCGGTTCTACTCCATCGTCGAGGCTACAGACTCCAGCGGGCGGGCCCTGTACTCGGGCATGAAGGGGAGGCTGGTGTGGGCAGCGACGGATTTCTACTCGTGGGTGGACCTCGCCAGCATCGTACCCTTCTACGTGGATATGGCTGTGGCGCAGGACCTGCCCGCCACGCAGTTCATCCGGTGAGGCTGAGGGCAGTCTGTCTGTCTGTCTGTCTGCCTGCCTGTCTGCCTGTTTGTCTCCTTTGTCTCTCTCTGCGCTTGCCTGTTTTTAGTCTATATCTCTCTGTGTCTGTCTGTCTGTCTGTCTGTCTGTGTGCCCCACCCCCCATCCTCTCTCTCTTTCTCTCCCTCTCGCGCGCGCTGTGTGTGTCTCTTTCTCTATCTTTTTATCTGTCTCTGTTTGATTCGTTCATTCGGTACAGTTCTGAGCAGGGTCTCATCGATGTGTTTGCTATTGACCGAGATGTTGTGTTGCTGCTGTTTTCATCGTCGTCGTCGTCCTGTTGACATGGAAACCACGCGCATTCACCGATGCTATACCATGCGATGCCATGAAAAAGGTTGGCGAGGATGCTGCGCATGATGAAGGAGGGAGGCTTCGGCGAGGCCTTCGACGCCTTCGGAGAAATCTACCGCAAGAATAAGAAGATCGTTACCACCAGCGTCTTCGTCGGCCTTACCACCTGGCTCATGCTCTCGTCCTTCAACCACATCGCGGAGAGGGATAACCCCCGCATGGTCTGGATCGTGAGTGGATGTTGTTGTCGTCGCTGCTGTTCATGGGTTTCGATTTTTTGTTGGTGCTGGCTAAATGGTTTAGATCCAATATGTGCTACTTGTACCCATCGTGCTCCTCCTCCTCCACGAGACATTACCGTCAATGACCCCCCGCCGTCACTCCATCCAACATGTGTTGCAGCGCCCCCATCATGCTCCTCCGCTTTCCAGATACATCACTGGAAAGGATCCTCCCCCACCACTACATCCAATGTGTGTTATTAAGGTACCCATCGTGCTGCTCCCCTTTCCCGAGACATTGCCACCCACAATCCCCACCCCGTCACTACATCCAGTATGCGTCGCCCCCCCCTCCCCTCCCCTCCTTGTATCCAATACCTGTTGCAGTACCCATCGTGCTACTCCCCCTACTCGGACGACGACGAGGGCGCGGGGCCCCGCGACGGTCGTCCGGACTGTCCCCACCGCTACGGGTCCATCCTGTCGTCTTCCTATTTCACGCTGCTCAACCTCTTCGGGGAGTTCCCGCTCATGGACAACCACAGCACCGCGGGGCGTTTCATCGGCGTGTTCACGGCTGTGGTAAGGGAGCAGGGTTGGTGTGGTGCGCGCTGTTGCGGGCGGGGGACAACGATTGGATTTTCTTCCCAAGCGTATGTTAAGTTAAGCGTGGCACATGTTGGCGAACGGACTTTTCGGTTCCCCGTTCTTCTAATGTGAGACTCTTTTTCCTCTGTTCGTGCCTTCGGTGAATGCTATCGTTGTGGCACACCCTTGATTGGACCGTATGTTGTTCACTATCTCCGTGGTGCCTCCCCCGTTGGGCCGGCGAAAACTCGGCGTATCGCTCCGTACCGGCATGGTAAGTTTGCAAAGGTCAATGGTCAAACGAGTACGGGATGCATGACTATGAATACCCCCCCCCGGTCCGGTGAGAACCCGGCGTGCTCCGTCCCGGCTTTGTAGGGATGCGAGGTCAATGGTCTAACGACTACGGCATGCACGACTACGGGTACCCCCCCCCCCCCCCCCCCCCAATTGCCCGGGGAACCCCACAGGGGGGGGGGGGCCGTTTTCCCAACCCCAACCGGATTTTTCGGGCCCGGGTTCAGGAAATTATCCCCCCCAAAAAAAAAGGGAAAGAAAAAAAAGAAAAAAAAGAAAGCCCCCCCCAACCCCGAGGGACCGGCCAACAACCCCCTGGAAAACGCCCTTGGTCCCCCCCCGGGGGGTATTTTCACCCCCCCCCCGCCCCCCCCGCGGGGACGGAAGGGGGGCAACCGGGGGACATTTTCCAACCAACCAAAAGGGGGGGACCCCCCGGTTGGGGCCATCTCAAGGGGGGAAGGGAAAGGTTTCAATTTTTTGACCCCCCCCCCCCAGCCCGGAAAAAGGACCCCCCCTTTTTTGCGGGCGGGGGCATGCCGGAAACCCCGGGGTTCTTTTGAC